CTTGTTTCCGTTCTAGAAGAATAAGAAAAGAAAGAGCTTGTAGGCTCTATGTTCAGGTTTAGTCTAGTCTAACGGGGATATCGATTATACCCAATAATTGAGCACACCTGCTCTAGAAGAACCTCATGACAAGTTGTTTCCTTCTCCTTCGGCACAGAGCTGGCTCATGTTGTGATCCCAATGCTTCTCATCCTACGCCCATGCGATTCGAAGGGGTGCGCAGGTTTGCATCATTGCACTAAGGCCTGAAAATCGCATTGGAAAAGCATATTAAACATTTAATACCATTTTACATTAAACATTTAATACCGATATCTTCTGGTAATGTAACAGTTCCAAATTAATATAATGACGATGACGACCTTGAAAATCTCAAATCAATCAACACCAGTATGCATAACATTAATTTGACGAAATTGTACGAGGCATGTTCAATAAGGGAAAAAAAAGTCCTGCTGCGGCTAAGTTATTGCTTGGATCGAGGTACTTGTTTCGTGGCGTAGTACAGCAGTGGTAAGGGTTCTATTGCATGCGTGGATTGATCGCTGTATATTTCTACGCATGCGAGACAGCCAATTATCTATAAGATGACGGCCCTCCTAGAAACATGGGCAATCATGGAAGTACTGAGTGCTATTCGTATTCTTCGTGCAAGAGACACCATACCCGCAGAAGTCCATCGCCAACTTGTAGAAGTTCATGAGGAAATTGCCAGGTCACGAAAGCTATTATGGGTGTGTCGTGAAGCATTCAATTCTGGCCGAACGAGCATGACGCTCGTTCGGATGAACAAGGAATGGGTCCACGGAGCACCTCGTCAACATATTCGAGAATTTCGTCGATTTTAACGGAACGATTCAAGAGGACAGGCAAGTGGCAATTCGTCACGTCGCTAGAGATCTCGACATTTCTATCAGAACTGTGTTCCACGTTGTTCGTGATCCGTTGGGGTATCGAAAGGCTGGTTCCCGGTGGGTGCCAAAGCGAGCTCCTTCGATTTCCTGGGAAGAGAGCAAACTGGTGCAATGCACGCTACTGGGAGACAAGAGACTTCGAGAAGCCATTCATCGTGGAGAATCTTTTATCTTTTAGTGGGAAATTTTTTAATGAGAGCGTTCCATCAGTGCCTGGGTCTGAGTGGCTGTTTGAGGCCGAGCATTTTCACAATTAATCCCTACAAGTTGACAATGAACGTCTCTTGGATGAAGAAAACGAAATACACTTCGCACTTCAACGGTTGACCACGTTACCCTATGATGGCCGCCATCTTAACAGGCTTGTTACGCATGCGCAGAATTACACAGCGGTCAATCCGCGCGTGCTATATAACCCTCACCACTGCTGTACTTCGCCACGAAACAATTACCTCGATAAAAGCAATAACTTAGCTCAAGCAGACCTTGTTACCCTACTTGTTGAACATGCCTCATATTATGAGAGATTTGTGTAGATAAAATAGTGCTTGGCCTGAAGGACCGAAGCTTCATCGATATTGGCTGCAACTTCTGCGGAGATGCTTTAACGTAGTATACAGAGAAGGGAATCTAGAAATAAATCAAGTGAGGGCCATATACCGGGCAATTTATTTAATATTGTACATATTTGAAAGCCCATATCTCTGGGAGGACGTAGCCAATCTTGATGAAAATTGACCACAATATAAAATAAATTTGGAAAAAATATTCGACAGAGTTCTTAAATCGCAGGACCCTCTATCAGGTTGAAAAACGGATTCTACCAAAACCTCTGATAGCAAGATCTTATCAGTTTGATCACATATTTTAAAGCTGATCATTCATTAGATATGTCTTGATCCAGTAGTCATGAAAGTTTCGTGGTTTTGTCCCATCTTACTGAGATCTCATATTTCAAACGTGATAGCAAGATATGCGGACATTTTCCATCCACGGATTTATAATAATCTAATAATTGGTGAGCTCTAAAAGATTGTTTCAACTTGATAAGATTTTGATTACAGAGGTTTTGATAGAATCCGTTTATCAACCTGATAGAGGGCGCTGCGATTTCAAAACTATCGAATATTTTGGCAAGTGTTTTACATTGTGGTCGATTATCATCAAGATTGGTTGCGGCCTTTCCGAGATATGAGCGTTCATTTACACTTTATAATTACAAAAGATTTACTATTTAAATTAAACGCCCTGTTTATGGTCAAGCTTTGTGCCCTGTCTTCATTACCTGTTCCTTCTCATCCGCTTGCCTTGTAGACTTCGAAGAACATTTCATGGGGTACGGCATGGCGGGTTTATTCCCCGACGACTTGTACCCACGACACAACTACTGTCGGAACCCGAATGTAGATGAAGGGCCTTGGTGTTTCAAAGCCAAAGAAATTGGACGAGACTACTGTGACGTCCCTGATTGTCCTTAAAAGGTTGAGGTACTTCTGAAATGCCTCGGACGCCGAGACACGCATGGAGACCGTTATATCAATGTTTGTACCATCGTCCAAATGTTGGTGATACTTCTTTGCCTGAGTGCTTGATCGCTTTCCCAGCATGCGATCCCAATCAGAGCATGACATTTCGGCACCGGATTGACTTCATAGAGGGAGCACCCTGAAATATCTTGGCAACGTCCTTTACTAATATCTCCAAATTCAAATTGACATGAGTGATATTAGGGTGAACCACAGATGAGTGCACTTTCTTATCTTTGCGACGCCTTTCATCAATATGTACACCTTCACATAGACTTGAGTGAAATTGTCATGTGCCTATTCGACTATTCGGAACTCCTCCGGAATTCGGAAGAAAATATTCCTCTTTCTCCATGAAGGTGCAGTCCAACTAATAAAGGTCCTTCTTCCACGACCATGACACATCCAGCCGAGAGCGTTCACTTTAATTTCCTCAAATTTTATTTAAATGTTACGAAATTAAGCGATTATCAACCTCAGTATGAACCTAATTTCTCGTTTCTTTCTCCTTTCGGAGAAAGAAAATTATGAACTGTTTCACAACGGTAATACTATTATCATACTGCTTATCATTTATTGTCTTTCAGTCTGTACCATTGCAATTCAGACAAAATATATGCAGATGGGTTTATGAAATATTTGTGTGGCGCCATTGAAGAATGAATTGAAAGAGTCTTTTTACAAAAATTCTTAAAATCAAACCACCATATCGCCAATAGCGTCCCGTTTCGATGATTCTACACATTCTTATTATTATTACTAAAAATAAGATCGATTCTGTTCTTCATCACTGGTCTCAAATACAACGCAGAAGTCGCTCAACGACTTTGCTAGCCCATTTTTTGTTGCCCGCCGTCACCACGAGGAGGTAGCTCCATGTTACAGATGAAATTTTTTCATGAAGTCAAAAAGTATTGCATCAACCCTACCAGGGCAGCATTATTGCAATGAAGCGCGCTTCAGCCCACAAGACTCCATTTCTGACAAGGCCAAACATCACGATTAAATGCAATACTGCTGCACCTTGGTGTCGTTTACGTGAATAATAGTGCAACTAATCTATTTTGAGATGTAATCAATCAAGTTGTTTATTATTATACTTTTAATGGTTTTTGAGCATGAATGTTAGGCAGTCTCTGGCTATTATTTGGATTATTCTTAGGACTTTCTTTTAGATAAAGATACTCCTCATCTCTCTCTACTTCCTTTTGAATGTGTTGACAGACAACACAATATACTTGAGAATGATATCGTTGGATTCTTGTTGAACATTTTTTTCTACGACTTTGCTAGCCCATTTTTTGTACCCCAGATACTCTCATACAAATATTCTTTACCATTCACTATACCTTGGGTGTTGACACTTCCAAATTTGACTCTCCACTCGTTCTATTGTCAATGCAGGGCTCGTTGGAAAGCGATCCCCAGATCACCCATGTATTCTATTGTACCGCAAAAATGACTGGAACGAGCAGCATTCTATTATTTAAGGACCCACCCCATATTGCAACATTTACAAGGGGGGTATCATCGATCAATCTTGACTTCAAAGAAAGAACGAATTAAGAGAATGAGCACCTGGTCGATAACGAGAGAGTGTAAATATCCTTTTCCTCGGCCCATGGCACCGCGAAGCAAATAGGGGAAACCCAGTAATCGATTTCCTTTCCTATCCATCAACACTTCAAGTGAAAAAATCGTGAGTCGACCACCGTGGTCGGCGTTGACACCGACGAAGTCCATCTAATGGTCCAACATTCTAGCTACTTGCCCACATCCAAGTCATACCTGTCATTGCATGCTGTCTATGATAACAGAATCTGAGTGACCGATGAGTAGCTTTTCTTTTTATTTAAATCATGTGCCTTTTTGTGTCGATTTTATGAGATTTGGTAAGACTCGTGAGTGACCCGTGCGAAAGTACAAGAGAATTTAAAGGCAATTATTCAAGCAAAGAAAGGATTAAACTAATCCTCCAAAAGAAAAAAAAATCAGGTATTGCGCAAAGGATTAACTGACTCGGTGAGTAATTAATACCATATCTATCGTCGTAGAACCTCACTATAGATATATGCGAGTCGTCAATCCGCTGCCTATTAATGAGCATGAATATATGAAGGCACTCTTCTCTCCAACACGTCAAACGCCAACATACGTGTACAGCTTGTCGGACCGATCGGGTCGGACCACGGCCTATTCAGGCCTCCAGACTTCAGGACTCAAGTTCTCTGATTACATATTCGCCCCCACTCGACCGCAATGCCGATTGCCAAGCAAGCCACAGCCCGTTTTTTTCTGTGTCTCGTCGATTCTATCGAGCCGATTCAGATCGCGTGTAGCGCACAACCTGCGGTATTCAACTTCTCCGATGCGGAATGGAATCCTCCATTTTTATTTCTATTAAGTTGACTTTATTAGGTTGTCTTTGCGTTTTTTTTTCTGAATCTCACGTTGCAGCGTCTTTTTTTAAATGTTTCGAAATGGTTCTGAGTTGTCGTCTAGGTGTTATTGTATTTCTCAGTTATTTTATTGTAACCTTTTCTGCTTTTTGGCTAAGATTATGGATCCAGAAAAGACCCATCTCAGACACTATCAGATACGAGTTCGCCCAGAGGCACTCAGCGGCTGCAGCAGCGGGGAATATCAGGTGAAAGGTGAGGGGGTTGCCTCTCTCTCTCGCACGTGCAGGTACTGCTTCGATCGGTTCCGCTCTGGTGACTACTCTGCGGAAGACAGACCCCATTCCGGACGACCGGTCGAATGCGATGTGGACGAGTTGCGTCGCCTGGTGGAATCCGACCACCGTCGAACTACTTGCTGCATGGCCTTCTCTCTCGGGTGCACCCATGTAACAGTGGGGAGACAGCTGCACTCATTCGGCAAAGCGAACAAATATTGATCTTGGGTGCCACACCATCTCAACTAGAGAGATCTCGAATTGAGCGCCTATACTCTTTTCCTGAGCATATCTCCCTATTTCGAATGGTTAGACCTCGTGGTAACAGGAGACGAGAAATGGGTCCTCTATGAGAACCATGATTGTAACTTTTGGGTTTGCATGCACATAATTTCATGAACATTCAAGCAATAATACTCAAAATTTAATGAAGATAATCTCCACATGCTCTCCACAAGTTCGTCGTCGCTTCTCGGATTCTTCAACTTATTCCTTGAAGGAAAGGAGGGCGAAGAGATGAAAGGTTTCAACGTAGAAACGACGGTGGTCATCGTTGCTCACTGTCAACGGGAGTGCAAACGTCTTTCTATCGTTCAGGTCCACGAGAATCGATATGAAATTAAAGGACAACCCAGAATTTCCTCCACCTCCCAATTTTATATTCCTTCAATGCAACCATTCAAATGCCTCATGCTCCAGGTCAATAAAGCGAAGCACGCCGCAAAACTAGGGGAGATGTATACTCCCATTTTGCTCATTTCGTAAACTCTAACTCCTGCCGCAAATACAACCTCGCAAGACCTTCAATCAAACTCTTCACGCCACGAAATCACTCTCGACATGGGACGTGCCCCTTCTCATCGTAACAGGTAAATTGCTAAAGAATAACCCTTCATCGCCGTGTTTTTTGGGTGCGAGGAGCTTCCGAGCGAGAAGTTTACGAGTTTCTTCTTTTTATCGGAAAGGACTGTAATAATATTATTCAAGTCTCTAATATTATTCAAGTAGTCTCAATATTAATCATTTTAAAAATATGTAATGCACCTTCGCATTTAATAAAATTCAGTAAAATAAGCAATGCTAAAATAAGTTTTTCACGAATCCGTGGGATTAGGAGGACAAAGAGGCAGGACTAAAACGGGTCACAGGATGTTGCCATCGCATTCAAGAGCCAGGGGTGGTGCAAAGGTAAACCAGCGTCGTTTCCAGGGAGAGCGTAGCATTCAAGCTGTATTGATTAAATAGGAAACCCATTAATCAACTTCCATTGAATTTCCTTCTGAGCACTCCATGTAAAAAAATAAAAAAAAAACTGAAAATCAATGCTACTAGGCCACCATAGTCGGCGTCGTCAACAAGGCGGTTCATCGAACTGCTCCATAGTGGACCAACTCGCCTCCCACCCAAGTCCCCTCCGTCCTTCCCGAAGACCCAACCGGGAGGATGGAATCTCGCAGATCCCGGGCAGACAAACTCAACATTATTCTCGTGTTGCTACTTTTAATACGAGACGTCGCCTCCGTTGATTTGATCCCTTATTTCGGCGTGCATCCAGGGCAGAGATACGAGAATGTCACATTGGAATCTCAGGAGCCGACCGTTCGAACGTGCACCATAATTTGCGTGATGCAGATACCGAGTCCATGCTACGCCTTCAACTATCGGGAGACCGATCGTTCCTGCCAGTTGATTCTCAACGGGATGAGTAGGCTCGTCGGAGCCGATGGATTCCAGTCCTATGTCCAGAGTGAGTCGAAATCTCCTAAAATTCATCCCAGCAGATTTGGAGATATTATGACGTGGTAACCCCTTCCACATACAGTGCTATGTCTGAGAGAGCATCCCTCGATCGAAAATGCGGCGGTGTCCTTCGTGGGATGGAGTGGAGAATATCCAGCGCCAGCAAGAGCAATCGTCACGCTCCGTTGTGAACATCCGAAAGGGTTCTCGGATGGAGCTCATATCCACACGGCTGAATGCGCCCCCTTGAAGCCTGATTCTTGGTGTCTCTCTTTCCGGGAGGGTTCAGTGAGATGTGAGAGCATACCACCACATTTTTATTATACGCTATTTTTTATTACAAATTTCGTATCATATATATTCTCCTTAGTATTAGACGACAAATGGGTGGAACTATTTGCCCATGTAAATGTGCGCCTCTTCCGCACACGATCCTCCAGATTTCACATATGACCATATAAGGAGTGGCCCAAAAAAGGTCACCACTAACTGGGAACAAGCAACTCAAATTCGGAATGTCTGACTAGACTTTCATGTCAATTAAAAAAAACTGAATGAATTCACATGCATTAATGTACTAACGTAACGAGCACATAGCCATAAGACAATGATATTGCAGTTGAATTTGACATTTGAATTTGAAAGCGCAATAACGAAATTTCCTCATTGTAATGGCGGAATTTTGGGGGCTACTTGCATATATTTTTCATCCATCGAAGCTGAAGGAGGACACAGACAAGAGATAATCCCCCATTGAAAACTAGTGTATCATAGGGCCACTCTTTAGCCTGACACTCAAAGGAACAAAAACTCTAACGACGCTCTCTAGGAAAGGGTGAAAAATGCTATTTTTGTTTGGTTTGGTTTGGTAATGGTTCGAGGAAGTCCAGATAGGCCTAACGTTCCACGTCTCATTGAAATGGTTCATGAAACGCGAAACAGGCCTCCAATCGGTCTTACGTTACACGTCCGTAACAAGATGTGTCGAATACCACGATTCACCCTTGCAGCCCTAATTGGCGCCGTAAGTCGAGAATTGAGTTTCTTTTGGAAAGGAAATGGTAGACCTTGACGTGACTCGAAGGCAGGTTGGTTAAGCCTAGGCCTAACGTCAGTGAGTCCCGTAGAGAGGCCGAGGGAGCTTGAAGAAAGGGAAAAGCGATTGAAAATTGGTTTTCACATTACTTCATTATCTATATATAGATGATCGTGACTGAGTGACTGACGCTAATTCTAAACATGTTCTAAATAAGGTAGAAATCTGAAACTTGGTACACAAGTAGCTATTGTCTTCAGGAAAGTTCATGAAAAAATCCGACTTCGTAGGTAAATACTTTGTGGCCCCACCTCATCCTGATGAGATATTTTGAAATATATATATGTTCTTCGGTCAAACGGAGAGACATGGAAAGCTGAAACTTTGTATGAATATTGAATACTGACACGCTGAGTTGAGGATATATGTCAAGTTTCCAATGCGTCCTCTGGGGGCATATTTTTGGGGGGTGACATTTTCAATTAATTCATTTTTGCACAGGCGAATCCAGCTGAAAGAGGGAGGTAACACTTGATACAAACATAACTGACACGATGTTGATTTCAGGAAAATTTTAAATTTTATTGTGCATCCTCCCAGGGCACTGCTTTTTGGCGGGTTGTCTTTCCAAATATATTTTTGCACCAGCAAAAAGGGCAAAGCTATAAGACTGAAACTTGGAAGGCACGGAGTTCTCTGAGAACCTATTTATGTAAATATTGAATATTATATAAATATATATTATATTACTAGTATATTATATTATATTTTTATTTGAATCCCCTCGGCAAATATTTCATGAGAGAATCCAGGATCTTTTCAATCCAGCAAAACAAAGAGTAATAACAGTTGAAATTTGTCTCAGGCAAGTTTGACCCCATGAGAAGTATAATTACTCGAATGCTAAGCAATCGGTGAGAAAATGCACAGCACTTTTTATTCGGCAGTTAAGGTAGATGACAGAACTAACAGGTATGCTTTTGGCGAAGTAAAATTTTATGAGGGTGTCAATTCAGTTTTATTTTTCACAAGTGACACATGAACCTTTATTCGAGAAGCCTTTTTCTCACATCACTCCAGTTTTAAAAAATGTTGACTGAAAGGACGAAAATGGTTCTAATCCGAACCTTTGCTTTTTTTTAAGGCCAGAATAATGTTATTTTACAAAATTAATAACAAAACTCGGCAAGTCAAATGGAAGATAAAAAACCAAATATCCTGTGCAGTCTTGCAGTAAATCCATTGACATTTTCTCAACATTTCCTCCTAACGCTGGATTTGGTTATTGGCAGGTGAAAAAATCCATAAATATCCAGAATGCCGCCTGACAGAAAAGGGCAGGGAATACGCAGGAAGAGTGAGCGCGACTGAATCGGGACGGAATTGCCTCAACTGGAGAGACTATCCCTACGGAAGGCCGGAAGACTTCTCGGACGTTCTCATTACTGACGACAAATCCATCGATTACGGAATTCCTTTGGGTCGTGAATTTATTTACGACTTTCAAACGTTTTATGACCACGACGAAGTATCGCGACGAGACCTATCATACGAGGCCCACTTCCGCAATCGGGACTCCAAGACTCACCTCAACTACTGCCGGAATCCCTCCGGAAGAGAAAGACCCTGGTGCTTCGTGTCCGACCCAAAAATCCAGTGGGAATACTGCGACATCCCGATGTGCACAGACCCAGGTGAAGTATTTTTATTTCAGGTATTTCAGGCATCAAGTATTATAATTTAACTTTACTTTCCAGCAAGCAAAGATTGACCGAACGTTCCACGTGCCACTGAAACGATTCATGCAACGCGAAACAGATCTCAGTTTTCAACCTTTTCGGCTGTGGGGCCACAAAGCTCATTCCCAAAGCCATCGCGGGTCATATGCAGTCACTGGTACTGTGGGAGACTATGTTAAGGAAACCCGAGGGTATTTATTGTGGGTAAGGCCCTCGAGGGCCACTTTTTGCCTGCAGGCCACGGGTTGGGCACCACCGGTCTAACGTCTATGAAATGGTTCGGGAAGGTATGAATGGGTTGGCGATCGAGCTAACGTCGCACGTTCTCTTCGATGTCTCGAAGACAAAGAATCACCCTTAAAAGCATAATTGTCGAGAGTTAAGTTCCTTTTTTAAAAACGGAAAAAGGTAAGGCTAAACGTGACCTGAAACCAGACTCCTAGTTGGGCTTAGGCCTGACGTTAGCGAGACCAGTAGTGAAGCGGGGGAATGAAGAAAAGCAAAGCCATCGAAAGTTGGTTTTCACAGTACTTCTTTCCACCTATCGAGGGTCTGTCTGTAGTCATCGATAGGAAATATTGGATTTTTCTGCTCCGCCTACCACAACCGCCACCTAAACGGGTTGGAAATGCCGGGAATAGAAAGTAGATGGACACAAACATGAAGCCTCCCAAGCAGCATGTTCACGTAAACATGATATCAATTTTTTGCAAACAATGTAAATTTATTGCGATTGCCATGAAAATGACATCACATTTACGTAAGATTTACTTTCATATATTTGCGTCACCGAAGTGTACGTGTATTTTACATCAACTAGACATCGCTCCATCTGACGTGAAGTAAATGATATCAAGTTTATGAAAATTTAACACCACACCATCCATATGAAACTTTAACTGACCATCCTGCAGTTGTAGTACCAAGATTCCTCACTAGATGGAACCCTTGTTCCCCGCATCCTACAATTACTATTAAGTACTGGTTTTCCTCCTATAATATCAGGTTTTCTTACCATCCTTCTACTTTTTATTATGCAATCCATGAATATGTATATGGAAAATATGAAATTATTATACATTTTTATAGTATATAACTCAAGTAATCATTAAATGCTGAAGTCAAGCTTTTTATTACAGCAGTGCATGGGATTAGGGAAGAGTAGAATCCCGGTCTACCAGCACTACATCTTCTCTATCCTAAACGGAAAAGAGCTCCTTGGAACATCTGTTCCTCCTTACGAGGTTCTTGTACGGGAGGAGGAAGCGGTAGGTCACTTTGGTACTCTTTGAGTGCTGGTGAGGATGAGTACTCGTGAACTCGTCTAATCACTCTAGAGCTCCGAAGAATGTAAAAGAATAGGATATTCAATATATCAATTCTCTTCAATGGTACTGATTGACTCTTTAAATTCGCATGAATGCCAGGGGAAAATTAACATAAATCTTGCATAAAATGAATGTAAACATTCTGTTTGGGATGCAAACGGGAATGCCAATTTTACGTAAAATTGACGTTAATTTTATATAATCGTTTACGTATCACAAATGTGACATTTCTGCAAACATGTTGACATTTTCTCGACAATGGTTTCCGTAAAAAGGATACAAAATGAACAAAAAATTTACATTCAGTTTACGTAAAATTAACATAAACATGCTGTTTGGGCTAGTAAAACGAACCCTATTGTTTTCAAGTGCTGCCATCTATTGAATATTTTCGTCTCGGCCATTCTGACACGGGCCAGGTAAAAATTGAAGGAATTGCAGGAAGCAGCCGGTCATCCGATAATCCTTTTCGCAAGCTTCATACCAATTTGCCATTTCAAATGAAACGGGACTTTCCCCTTTTTTCCCACCAGTCCCTCCCGAGTGCAAGGTGACTCAATTCGGCAGCGAATACACGGGAAGAAAGGACACGACGATCGCCGGCGACCCATGCCTGCCTTGGAGAAACCTGGAGAACATCGAAAATCTCCTCCCGGCATTCCCGGACCCGGATCGCGTCGACGCGCATCACAACTTCTGCCGAAACCCGAGGACGCCATATCACGAAAACCTTTACGAAGTGAACGCTGCTCCTTGGTGCATATTCAAAAATGCTTCGGACATCATATCGTGGGGTTTCTGCGACATCCCTTCCTGTGCTCCGACATCTCTCGGCGATAGTGCCGGGACGGGTGTGTATCCAGAATGCCGACTGTCGCAGAGCGGGAAGGAATATGCTGGGAGCGAGAACAAGACAGAAAGCGGAAAGCCTTGTCTACCGTGGGAGAACAACGAGGCCGGACTTGCCTGGGATTTTTACCCTCAATCGGAATTTGCTCATTTCTACTTCTTGGTCCAATTCACGGAAGAAGAACGCAACACGAAACACAACCACTGCCGAAACCCAGGGGTGCACAGAGAGCGACCGTGGTGCTTCGTCGCCGACAACGAGACGAAATGGGAGTACTGCGACATCCCCTTCTGCCGTGACCGAAGTGAGTCCGATCTGGCCGCTTTGAGATCAGCACCCTGACAGTTCAGTGCTTTCTACGCAGCTTTTTACTTTTTTCAAGGAAAGGTGACGCGATGAAGCTGAAGTTCAATATTTTCCCTCCTCACCATCTGATGGGTGGGAAGATATTGAACTCAAAGGAGGCGAGACAGGAACTCTTAATGTCTGGATTATCTCTGGATTACTCTCTCAATGAAAAATCTTAATCTGGGTCTCTTAATCAGAGACCGGAGTTGCCGTCATAACAACTTGCTCTGGGCTCTTCCAGGACCTTCGAAGTTAGAAAACCGGATAAAAAACGATTAATCTACCTTGGTCTTGCCTTCGCGCACGGCTTCCTGGCTGATACTTGTCCTCGAAAAAAGAGGAACGTCATCACTCGAAGGATGAAGACCTCAGGAAGATTAGACGAGGCATAAAAAAAACTCGCTCGAGTTTGACAGAATTAGAGTCGCCGTCGTCTCACGTGCACCGGCATTTCGGCGTTGCCATTAATTGATATGAAGGAGTGCGTGTATCACCTCATCGCATTTCGGTTCCTGCTTTTCCTTTCTCAGATCCACCGGAATGCAAATTGAGCGAGAGCGGACTGGAGTACGTGGGGAAGCGGAACGTCACGATTTCGGGGTTCCTCTGCCTACCTTGGCTCTCCCTCTTCAAAGAGGACGAGATACCTTTAACCCACTTCTCAGACGAAGTGGACGGAAAACACGCGTTTTGTCGCAGTCCGCAAAATCGTCTTAAAGAATATTACGGCCCTTGGTGTTATATCAACTTCGACGGCGATGGGGAGTTTTGCGACGTTCCATACTGTCCTACGGATGACAGGTTAGAATGCGACGTGAGAGTCGGAGGGCATTGCATCAGTGAGTCCTTCCGATCGAGATCATTCTTCTGGCCATCCGACGGAAATTTCACTATCGGCAGACTAAAGCGTCTGGACGCATGTTGCTTTCCAGGCCCACTGGAGTGCAAGACGGACGCGACCGGGCGGTCATACGTGGGAACGAAGAATTCCACTCGTAAGGGGCACAAATGCCTCCCGTGGGTGAGCAGGTCGGCATTGCAGCAAAGATATGCGATTTGGGACTTGTCTTACAAAAATGAGGATTACGAAGGAGAAAACTATCGGTTCGTCATGGACGACTTGCACCCGAGGCACAACTTCTGTCGGAACCCGATCGGCGACGAAAACGGTCCTTGGTGTTTCAAGACCGACGGGCTTGGACGGGATTATTGCGATATCCCCCTCTGTACTTGAAACCTTTCGTGAGAGTAAAGTCATCGTCATCACTCGTGTAGGTTTCGTCGTCTCGCACGAATGCGACTTCTCCTTTCTTCCTTTCGGAGCAGTTTTTCGCACCGAGTCGCTCGTACTTCCGGTCTCGGTCTCGGTTTGATGGTTACCCGACTGGCATTCGTGCCCTGCAACATCGAGGTCATCACAGTGGCGTGTTTCTCAAATCTCGTTCTCCGTCTCCCCTGGACACGGGCTTTCACGTTGGGCTTCGCATTAGCTGCCGTCTCCCCCGCTCGTTCCTTGCATGCTTAACATACAAGAGGAGGGAGACGGTGTCGACAAGGGCATCCCGACGTTGCTGCTTGAAGCATCGCCCTTAGATGATGTCCTAGCTATCTCGGCTTTCCTCGTCTCCCTTGGGATCACTTTCTCTCAGGGTTCTATCATGAATCAGGACACCATGCCATTTGCCGAAGTGTTTCTTGGTTTTCTCATTAGCATCATTCTCTGGTTCGTTCCTAATCGCAAGAACGACTTCGCCGTGGCTGAGATCCATTCAATATTGCTATTAACAGGTGGAATTGCATCATATTTTGGAAGCATGTCGATCGAGATGAATTCAGCTGGGGCTTTCATGCTGGCTTTTGTGGCTAGTTACGGGTGGCGTCGGCAGGGCTACCAGTATGACAATCCCGTCTCGCTCAATTTCAAGTATTCTTGGCTCCTCTTCCTGTCTCTCCTCTTTAGCTTGATCGGAACTGAGATTGACTTCGTTGAAATCAGGGTCACCACTGTCGGGTATCGCCTAATAGTCATATATATGGGGGATTAATTTTTAGATGTTGTGCCGCTTTTCTTGCCGAGGCATTGTTAATTTTCTGACTAATACACTTGGTAGGAAATAGTTAATTTACGTGGGGTATGAAAAATAACATTCCTTATTTCTTTGCGCCAAACTGATTTATTAAGCAACCGGCATTGAAGTTCGGTGTTTTTCCAACACAAGGAACGTATTTCGTACCGTTCCCCATCTTCCCCATTCTCGGATTTGTGAACCCCATATATAATGTGTGATTCGTGCAATAATAATAATAATATTTATTTCATCACTCTTGCAAGATCAATTGGTCCGTTGAGTTCGTCACATCTGAAAACTACAAATATATATACTCTCATAAAGAGGCAGAAGGTGAAGAGAAAAATAGATAAATGAAGAAAAAGAAATAGATAAATAAATAAAATAACATAAGTAAGAAAGTTAACAGAACTGGACAGGAAACTCAGAACATACAGTACTGAATTGGACACACCGAAACTGAACACATGAACATGAGTATAAAATCAAAAGGGGTCATGTATATGAGAATGATGAAATGAGGAGGTTCGAAATAATTTATTATTTTAAAAAAAAATATATATATATAATGTTGAGTCCTATGTTTAATAAAGAACGGCTTTTTAAGCGATTACCTCGCTCAGCCAGAGCAATGGGTTGCTAGGCAAAACGGAAGGCTTCTTGTTTTAGGAGCGTTTAATTGTAGTGGGGTGCATTCCTCCATCGCCTAGATTGGTTTGGGTGGAACAGGCACCATTGGTATTTCCTTTCCACTCTATATATATATATATATAAAAAAAGAAAGAAATCCTTCCACGGCACCTGCCGGTATTGGAGATATGAGGGGGGATGAACCACATGCCAGACCTCATACTCGCCTAATTCTGAAGGACACGGCACGTGCCTATACAAGTACTCCCTCGGGGCTAGTTCGGGGAAAGGCATATATATATATATATATATATATGCCTGCCCCGAACCTGCACCATTACATAAGAGGAAACTCGAGTAAGAGGACGGTGGGTAAGTAACCCTGACGTGGGGTAGGAGGGGAGTTTACCAGGTAATATCAAAGAATTATGAATATGAGTAGAGCGGGTGTGAGAGAAAGGGATCCTTCAACTGCCTTCGGAAGGCTGTATGATTGAGTTGCCGAATTGACCTGGGGATAGAATTGAAGTAATGCGGCCCTCAAGAGAAGATTAGTCTACTTGCCAGGGTGGATGAATCAATTGAACGGTGGTAGTCATTTTTACTTCGGGTGTCGTAGGTAGGTGTACACCTGCATTTCAGATGGCTTCCTTTTTAGAGACAACAGCATGGAAATAGACACTAGTGTGAAAGCGAACCAAGCTGGGGTAGGTAAGGAATTTGAGTTTAGGGAAGAGAGGGCGACATGTGGCACAGATTGACTAATCTCCAGTGTCTTTTATAAAGTATCCTTCAGTTGTGATTGAGCTTGACCAGAGTGGCATGTACTAATTACACATAACTCATAGAGCAACAGGTAGTGAGGCACTGGGTATCTTTTGAATGATAATTCAAATAATTCCCTCGAAATTCGTTTTCATGTCGACTCGACAAAGTCGACAATGTCGTGTCTCGCCCGACTTGTTCATGGTAAGATGACACACCATTGACAATCCCACTCCCCTGCATGAACCTCTTGTAGGAAAATAAACAATAAGAGATTTTCAATGGATTCTGAAAGCTAGAAAAAGGGTCTTCTTGGAAATACGTTTTTTCCTCTAAACAGAAAGGAACATGGAATATGTCTAGAACAGATGAACCGAACCTGGGTGGAAGAACATAATAAATATTAAATAAGTAAATTATTGTTTAAAAAAAGAAGAGAAGAGTACACCAGTAGAAGCCAGAGAGAATGGAACCGAAGTACAGTTGTTTCCTTCCATCTTCGTCTGGACACGGACATCGTCCGGGTGGCTCCAGGTCGTCCGTCGACGCATGTGATGTGTGTCGACGCCTTATAGGATCCTAGCCTCCAAGGATCCGGTTTCCAATTACGATCGAGGATTGATCGTCTATGCACAGGAGACGAGCCCGATTCACCTACAAGAATAAAATTTTCAATCCGAATGGTACTTCGAACAAGCACTTCCTCATCGTAGATAATAACAATGTCAGACAGACTCACCCCAAGCCGGACGACAACGGAAGACACCCGAGGAAGATCTATGAATTCTTATCGGAATCCCAAGCGCTTTTAAACCCTTCCTTGCCACTCCCCCCACACACCCATTCCCCTTATCCCTCCACCTCTCCCCCCGCACACCCCCTTCCCCACCCCTCCTGATCTCAAGGACACAACCTCGCCTCTCCCCCTTTTCCTTGTGAGATATATATCTGCATTCCAACCGTCCTCCAACCGCCTTCCTAACGTGTTCCATATGAATCTCCATCACGAATTTCTCACCCCACGGATCCCAGAAAATGCCAGCCTTCCTAATGCTAGCCTCTTGCTAGCCTCTTCTCTCCTCACAAATGTAAGAACATAATCAACCTCCATGCAGGAAGTACGGCGAGACCGAGCTTGGGCACACGAATAACGCTCTTCGTCTCGCCAACAATTCCCTCGGAGTTCGTTTTTTGTACGGTAAATATCTTCCCATTGTGCTTGTTCATGGTAATATGACATACACCACTGACATACTCCCGTACATGGAGTTCTCTCTTAGATTGAAATTCATTGGGGAGGGTGGGGAGGTTCCCTATCTAATAGTTCAATTGAAATATGCCGCAAGTTCTTGTTGCTGACAATAATAACGCTTGGGGCCGACATCGCCATGCCTTTCTAGGCCATAGGATAGGCCATCGACGCTCTAAAGCACTAGGCCTGCAAGTCAAGGCCACAAAAAAATTTGGTATACTTTCAACCTATCTGCTTTCAAAAGACTCCCCCTATAAATGGCATCTACGTACTAAAATGTGTCAATTGTCCCGCCCACCTTTTGAAAATTAATTACTTCACAATGCAAGGTTTGATTGAAACGTGGTTTCCAACATTCGAAAGAATCAGCCTCATCTGTTAAACCGAAGCATTCACAATGATGCTAATGGCAACGAGCTCGAATATCGTGATGATTGGGTTCGAGAACCAAATCTTCTCCTGTACGATCAGCTGTATATATATGACTAGCGAGTTTGTTTGCCCTTCGGGCAAACAAACTCGATATGGTCGCGCCTTCGGCGCTCCCTTACCTTGGATTCTTGTTGAACATTTTTTTCTACGACTTTGCTACCGCAGGTTGTGCGCTACACGCGATCTGAATCGGCTCGATAGAATCGACGAGACACAGAAAAAAACGGGCTGTGGCTTGCTTGGCAATCGGCATTGCGGTCGAGTGGGGGCGAATATGTAATCAGAGAACTTGAGTCCTGAAGTCTGGAGGCCTGAATAGGCCGTGGTCCGACCCGATCGGTCCGACAAGCTGTACACGTATGTTGGCGTTTGACGTGTTGGAGAGAAGAGTGCCTTCATATATTCATGCTCATTAATAGGCAGCGGATTGACGACTCGCATATATCTATAGTGAGGTTCTACGACGATAGATATGGTATTAATTACTCACCGAGTCAGTTAATCCTTTGCGCAATACCTGATTTTTTTTTCTTTTGGAGGATTAGTTTAATCCTTTCTTTGCTTGAATAATTGCCTTTAAATTCTCTTGTACTTTCGCACGGGTCACTCACGAGTCTTACCAAATCTCATAAAATCGACACAAAAAGGCACATGATTTAAATAAAAAGAAAAGCTACTCATCGGTCACTCAGATTCTGTTATCATAGACAGCATGCAATGACAGGTATGACTTGGATGTGGGCAAGTAGCTAGAATGTTGGACCATTAGATGGACTTCGTCGGTGTCAACGCCGACCACGGTGGTCGACTCACGATTTTTTCACTTGAAGTGTTGATGGATAGGAAAGGAAATCGATTACTGGGTTTCCCCTATTTGCTTCGCGGTGCCATGGGCCGAGGAAAAGGATATTTACACTCTCTCGTTATCGACCAGGTGCTCATTCTCTTAATTCGTTCTTTCTTTGAAGTCAAGATTGATCGATGATACCCCCCTTGTAAATGTTGCAATATGGGGTGGGTCCTTAAATAATAGAATGCTGCTCGTTCCAGTCATTTTTGCGGTACAATAGAATACATGGGTGATCT